ATATTTTTCTTTCTTTTTTTATCAATTGTTTAATCTTAAGGATACTGTGCATTGAGTAGCTTCAGGGGGTAGAGGAGTTAGTCTGTACAGAAAAAAGCAACAAATGGTCTGGTAGCATTTTATAGACCAGCAAAACATGTAGATGGTATCATGAGCTTTAGGGGCACAGCCCACTTAACTCCAGTCATCTGAAGAAATGGGCTGTGCCCACGAAAGTTCATGATACCGTCTAAATGTTTTGTTAGTCTATAAAGTGCTACCAGGCCATTTGTTGTTTTTTTCTGTGCATTGAGTGTTTGATCTGGGTTTTCTGCCACTGACTTCAGTAGGAAGGACTGTAATTGGACTGTAAAATTGCTAATGTGGTCATTATTTCTATTTGACAATACTGTCAATAATATAATACCAACAATGAAAACATACAATACTTCCATTGCATTTTAATTAAAGACAAACTACATCAAAATCCTACATCAAAATCAGTCCCACTCCTTGGAGAAGTTCAGATCCAGAGCTGAACTGTATAGCTCATTCCCCTAAATATAAAATGGCAAACAAAAATCTAACCAATTCCATAAAATGTGCAAATTGATTATAGATATGGACTTTGTGACTCAAACCCATCTCTAAACCAAACATCTCCTTAGTGCCAATACAATGAAATATTTTTTGTACGTACAAAACTGAAATTGAAATTAATGGGACTTGGTCTCTTATAACCTAACCATTACAATTTCAGGCCAGCATTATGCCCACAGCTACAGAGACACAATTCCCAATGAAGCCAAAATATTAAATTTATTCATAATGTAAAAGTAATAAATTCCACTTTAGGTAAAGCAGTCTTTAGTCTAACAGGTGTTTTAAGCATTTACCTATAATGTAGCACAGAAGGGGAAGTTTCTGCTTGGCCTATGGTGCTGTTATACCATTTCAATAAATCCCCCAAAATGCACAGTTCTAAGAGATTTCCTTGTTTTGATTTGTAAAATAATTGTTATAAAAGTGATATGAGACCCATTCATATATTTCTTATGAATTATTGCACTTTTCCACTATTTCAGCCACTTGGTTTTCAGCATTATGTAATAAAGTTCATTGTTAATTTCTCAAACACCAGAAATGCATTCCTTGCTGTTCCTAACAGCCCATTATATGAGAGAAATGCTAGGATGATCCTTATTCAGACAACAACGTAAAACAGTCAGAAACCAGACAGTTCATAAATATACACTTTTAAAAGTGTATGTCATAGATGACATGCCCTTTAATAAGCTAATTTTTTCAACTCAGTTACATACATGGAGTTGCACAGGGTCAATGTCATGATACTTAAGGACATTCAGAATGCAGCAAATGAATATTAGTAATGTTAAAACATATTAACTCAAATCACACTTGCATTGGTTTCATGACTAAAACTCAGCTGACATCTTTGGAGATACTCCTATTTTACATCAGTGTCTGTGACACCAGAGTCAATCACACAGTAAAAAGAAATTAAGCCATTGCAATTTCACTTTGTCACAGAAGCAGTGGGCCCCAATAAGAATCCCAGTGTTGCCTTATCTTTTATGTAGAAACAGAAGACCATTTTCCTGTGTTCTATTCCATTGATGTTAACTTTTACTAATAATAGTATTCAATCACTGTCCAAATGAAAAATCCAATCTGTTGTCAGCTACCTCTTGGTCATGCCATCTGAATCCTATCTCAAAGGCCCTGTCATCATCCACCTCATCACTTTATTTGCATAAGAGATGAGACTGAATCTAAATAAACATAGAGCACAAAAGGAAATTCAACAAAAAAGAAAAATATGCTAAATATTTCTTTCTAAAGCCTCTATTTGTCCAGCCTAATAAACTATAGAAATCAGGAAGAAATTGGTGCCTTCAACCAGAAATAGCTTTATTTTAGTGTGCATTATATTTTCCATCCCAAGCCTCCATCTCACATTTCAATGATTGTTATTTATTATTTACATTACAGTAGTGCTCCAGACAAGATCAGAGTCCCACTGAGACCGACATCCACTAAGATGCAGGTACTACCCCAAAGAGCTAACAATCTAAGATGATATAGGAAGGAAAATAGAGAGATTAAATGACTGTTATCAGTTCATCTCACAGGTCAGAAGCAAAGTCAGGACTAGAACTCACTACTCCTGTGCGCTGCTTTAAGGCAATTACTTTCAGAAGTAATTCAACAATTCATTCTACCTTAAATTCCCCACTGGTACCCACAATATTATCCCTGCCCTGTTGCACTCTTCAGCTGTGGCTAACCATCTTTGCTATAGAAGTCTGTACTGAAATCAATACAGAGTATTAATCCCATAATATTTGATTTTTAAAAGTCAGAATTTCAGGGCTGTCATGTTCTAATGAGCAATCCATACTGATGAGGTCCCACCACTGCATATGAAGAACATTGCAATCATATTGAACCGATTACTACAGTCTTTATTCAGTCACAAGTCCTGGTAAGCCAAAGCCTGAGAGGTGCTGCTGAAGATCAGAAACCTCAGTGGAAATCTTTGGGAATTGTGAGTGCTCAATAGCATTTAACAGTATTTGTTTTCTGGCTTTAATGGGACTGAGAAAGAATTGCACTATCAGGCCCATTAACTATTTATAAGAGAAAAATGAATCCAGTGCTCAGGTTATGGGACAAATGCTAGGTGTTGAGACCTATCAGCGCCACCAGATCCAAAGAGAGCTGACAGCACTCAGCCCTTTTCAAGAGACTCAGATTCTCATAGAATTCTGCTGTGTATTTCTGCTCTTTTCTCCACTGCCAAATGCCAATTTGATCCAGCAAGTGTTCTATACATGGATCTCATGTTTTCTGGGAAGATCAGCTCCTGTATTTTAGATCAGAAGAATAATTTAAATAAACACTCACAAATATTTCAATATTTTTGACAGATAGTTGAAGCCACTCAGTAATGTGCAATATGAACTGTCAAGGTACAAACCTTATTCATAGGGTACCCTATTCATAGGGGTGCTATTAAGCACTCTATGCATTTTCCCCGGTAATTATAAGGTAATGTGATGGCAGTTTCTCAATCTGTTGAATAGTTGAGCTAAATACTAGCTTATAATTTGAGTTAACAGTAAATTAACAATGTAAGCACTGTATCACTAGCTGAATGGTCAAAGAATATTATATTATATTATATTATATTATATTATATTATATTATATTATATTAATTGCAGCACCTCCACATTGGCCCACATTCTTTCTTGGGTCTAGAACCATTTAGTATAAGAAAAATAGGGATCATCAGAGAGGTGGCTTTGAACTGCAGTGGCCATGGAGGTAGCTCCAGTACAGTTTAGCATGGCCTAGAAGGAATATACTGACTTTCAGAGACCCATATGCCACCTGGAGATTGCTGAAGTGTGATATATCCCCTAAAATGAGAGCTGAAGGGAAACTGGCATAGGATCCAGAGAGCCAGCTCTTTATCCCCAAGAGATTTCCTTATGCCAGGAGAATCAACAGCTGTGGAGATATTGTGTAATCTGTGGTGGCTTTATACACCAGTTGTGCTGTGGAAATGGAATTGAGCCAGACAATATGGTCCATTATATTTACACAAATCTGTTTAAGCATCAATATGATGCTCTGTTGATCTCAATAATAATTTTAAACTATTGGGATGTGCATTATACATAAATAAAAATATAACCAAATACTAACTGTGCTAAATAATATAATTAAATCTCTACACCTTACAATGTCACGGATCAAGCTATAAAGAGATCTCACTTAAATAGGTTTCTGAAGACACAATACAGGAAAAACTTTTGTACATACAAAGTCTATCAAATCTTCTCTAGAAACCTGGGGTCTCACTAGACACTTGGAGTTGGGTTTTCAAAAGGCTTTCAATGCTGGCCGAAGTTTGCTCTCATTGTTGATAATGAGTATTTTATCACTGACTTCGGTGGAGGCATAATTAGTTCTACGCTAAGCACTTTTGAAAATCCCACCCTTTAAGGTCAGCAGAAGATTTGCCCTACTAAGGACTAGCAGCCTAGTCCTTTTCTTTTTTTTTCACATAGGATCTTATATAGCTCCCACTGAAGATGAGCTGCTATTCCCTGAGCTTACAAGTTGCATATGAAACATTCCATTATCAAATTATTAAAATACCTTGTTACTACAGGTGAAAAATTAACAAAATAATATAAATATATGCATCTGTGCGGGGAAGTATCATCCATTCACTATATTACCATATTGCTACTAGATAACTTCATTCATCTTTCTGTTAAATAGGCAAGAAAAAGGTTATCATATATACAAACACATATTTCTATGGCAACAGATTAAGTTCTAGGCTATTCTTAGCTACACAGCAAGCAGAAAATATTCTGTTTTAAGCTATAGGACTAAACAAGAGATCTACATCTTTTCTTGCTGAAATATCTTTTATTTTGGTTAATTGAAGAGTGATTCAACTGGAAGCAACATACGTCACATACCACAGATGACTTCTAGAGTTATACAGATCTTCTAAAAGTCAGAAAACAAAAATCTATGCAATAAATATATATTAATAATAGTGTGATACCATTTTTATTATGTGTGTGTCTATATAATATACCTATAATCAAGAAAGATATACTTCTTGCCCATCAATTATTTTAAACTTATTTCTGCATTTTTATACTTCTTTTTTAAAGCAACTTGGAGATCTTCCTTATATACTGGTCAATATGTAATTTATTTTAAAAAACTATTACTTTTAAATTGGCACCAATTAATTCCTCTCACTTTGGGGAACAAATTCTAGTGGTGAGTTTCATAGGTATACTTGTGTTAGTCTGTTTCAACAAAATGAGTGAGTAGCTTAAAGACTGTGACAGCTTAAAGACTAACACATTTATTTGTGCATAAACTTTGTAGGATGGACAAAGAAGGCCCTAGCCCACAAAACCTTATACCCAAATAAATGTGTTAGTCTTTAAGGTGCCATAGAAATCCTCATAGTTTTTACTGATTGTATTACAACCCAACATTATTCAGGAAGGCCTGCTGTATCCTCTGTTAACTGAAGCTGATGTCCTCATAAAGAGGTGTTTTAATTCACATTTAAACACCTTTTAAACTTTTAAAAAAAATAAACTGAGATGTATACATTCAAATGACTCTGGTGACTCTGCTGCATCATATTGTGTAACACAGGATGTTCTGGCAGAACAATCATTATAGCAAAGGAGAAGTGATCAGAAATAGTGAAGGCCCCTGATGTAATGGGTTTTTTTAAAGTATTGTATTACGAAAACTTAGTACAAACCATATGAAAGAAAATATCAGACCTCTTGTAGGAAGCTACTCATCCTTCCATAACAATGATCGTAGGTCAGAAGAACTATCTGCCTCACTTAAAATATGCTAGAATAGTTGTTAGGCTTCTACCACTGTAAAATGGGTATGTATCAGCTGCACTATGTATGGGTTTAAAACCGTGTCTGTTTTCCCACCACATATTCCAAAGGTGGACATTTCCTATAAAGTCTACTGAATCAGTATTAGCAGGTTAGCTCGTACCTTACAGTGTGTTAATCTTTAAAAGGATTCTCTGCCTGGAGAAAGCCAGAAGCAACATGACAGATTTTTTTTCTTCTTTCCCCTGGGACTTGAGCTTTGAGTTACAATTGGTTTGCCCCGGCCTCCTATCTTTACATGTATCATTTAGGGAAGGTACACGGCCTAATAAAAGGAAGGAATCAAAGGAGATCCGTTTGAGGTTGGACAGCATCCGCCTACGTGTATTTAGTTCAAGTGTTAATACTAAAAGTCTCAGCTACTGGGGCCGGGAATGGGAAAGTCCCTTGGTTAATTAGTTTCCCTGTTCCCGGCAGCTACTCAAGCCAGTAGCAGACACGGCTGCCAGTCACCGGGACAGCGTGTGGGTCTAAAATGCTGACCAGTGAAATCTAGACTCGGCTTAATGAGACAGAATCAATTAACTCCAATTTCCACTTGCACTTCTAATATATCTGCAGTGTGTGCAGCAGCAGCAGCAGCAGCAGCAGCGAGATGCTCTGTATTAATAAAGGAATTCACTGATGCATTAAAAACCAGAGAAGAAGTGTTGTGTGGTATTTACATTTTGAGGAGGCTGGTGCGATGGGGAAGAGAGAAAGCGAGAGATACTCAGACTTGAAAGCAGAATATTACCCCCTGAACCAGACAAAGCTCTTGCAAAAACTGGTGCTGGAAAAATGGTAAGGACCCGGAGTTGAAAACATTTTCACTTTAATACTGAAAAAATATGCCATTATAAAATCCTCGAATAGAATTAGTAAGTTTCACTTGCTTCCTCAGTTCTGATTTCCTCAAGTTAGAGTAAGATTTACAACAGCACAGAATTGTCTACCATTAAACTCTGCAGCCTAAGCACTCGAGTGACATTAATTGGTCATGCTTAACTGCCTCGGATTTCTCTTTAATGTTTACACGGTTACCATAATAGAAATCAAGGGTACTAAATTTTACATTCAGGTGGAAAGGCATTGCTGGAGGTGTATATTTAAAAAGAAAAAAGCGGTAACCGAACCAAAAACAAAACTTCGCCCAACAAAGTAAATCCCCTCCCCCCAACTCAGAAAATGAACCAATGAGACTATCCATGCAAATATGCCTTAAAGAAAAGCTTTACATTTGTTTCCACAGTAAAAGTACGATCTCTATCTACTGCCTACCGATCACACAAAATATGGCGAAATGGCACTTTTTTATTTATCATACTGTATTTTGTATATAGAAAGTTTGATACGATGGGACTTATCAGGTAAGAGGGATGGTGGTGTGAACTAGACGCTGTTTCCAGTTGGGTGCTGGAGGAGCGTCCTTGGGGTGCGTTGTATCCATGCGAGCCATGCAGCACTGTTTGTGTTTGTTTTAATCAGTCGTCTATTTACATTACATTCATGCCTTCGTGCAACGTTTCACTCTCGCTGCGTTATCGGGGGGGAGGAGGCCACCAGCTGGGTTCCCTCCCCCCTCGCCCGCCCACATGGGGCTAATCCGCAAAACAATGGGGCCCCCTGCAAGACTTGCACCAAGTGGCTCCTGGCTTTCCATTGCACGCTAGGGCAATGCGCAGTCCGATGCCCGAAGCACCGCTTCAGTGGGGCTACCTTGAAAGGGTGCGTGGAGAGCCCCGGCCTTCGCTCACTGAAATACGCCGCAGCGTTGGCTTTTGCGCGCCCGGGGGTGTTATGTGCACGGAAGGGAGCAGAGGTTCAGAACCGTCCCTGATCGGTGTGGAGCAGTGACGTTAGCAGGCGAGCCAGCAATGCGCAGCTCAGGGACGCTTTAACCACTGAGTTGCTTGCTCGCTGCGAACTTGAATTGATTTCCTACTTGGTTTTTTCCCCCCCTCTCCGGCCCCAGCTCTTAGTCTGATAGCGAATGGGAGCCACAGTCATACACCCTATGGGCTCCGTCTGCATTGTAGGGGCCGTTGTGCCAGTAGGACGAATCGCAGACTGTCTGTAAGGAATTGATTTCCGAGGCAGAGGAGTTGGCGTCCCTCCGCTTGGAGCGCTTTCTGTTCCTCAGGATAAACACGAGCATGCCAACCACTGTGAAGGCGGAGGTGACAAAGACCAGCAGGAGTCCTGGGACCAGCACCGAAATGGAGACCCGGCTGGTCTCTAGGTAGGAGTTGGCGTGAGTCCCTGTCTCTGCCAATCCCGTGCTGTTTTTGCTATTGGAACTGGCGGTGGGCGAGATTTTGAGCTGCGGGCAAATGACGTCGTTGGAGAGGGACTCGAAGTCCTCCTTGAAGAAATCTTCTGGGGATTCACACCTCAGGTCGCTCATGACCACCTTGGGGCGCAGCAGCTCTGCCCACTGCTTGAAAGGCACAATGGGGCAGGAGCAGTCCCAGGGGTTGCCATGTAAATCTATCTGGGTGATGGAAGTGAGCTGGTCCAGCACCCCCGCCACGGGGAGGTACATGAAATAGTTATTGTGTATACTCAGCTTGGAAAGCGAGACCCCCGCGAACACATCGACAGGGAGGGACCTCAGGAGGTTGTTGTTCAGGATTAGGACACGGAGCTTGGGCATTGCATTGAAGGTGCCGGGCTGAATCAGCTGGATCTCGTTAAACTCCACGTTCAGATACTCCAGGTTTTGCAGCCCTGTGAATTTCTCGCGGGACAGCGTGTCCAAGTAGTTGCTATCCATGTAGAGCCACCGGAGCTCGAACAGGTTCTTGAAGGTGTTGTTCTCCACAGTCGCGATGTTGTTGTTCCCCAGATCCAATAGGTTAAGTTTCCGGTAATCCAGAAAGTGGGATTTCCTGATGGTGTGTATTTTGTTGTCTCTCAGAAACAGCTCCTGCACATTGGACGGCTTGGGCTTCAAAGCCACCAAGCTGCTCACATTTCTTTCGTTGCAATTAACCTTTAAACCCGAGCCAGGGATCTGATCACAGCTACAAATCTCCGGGCAGGGCATGCTAGCCGGTAGCTTGTTCTTCACGCTCATTGTGGAACCCGCAGCTGTGGGTCGGGTCTTGATTTGCCAGTTGACTGGGATTTTTGTACCTCCGTTTGGAGCAGATCCGGTAGTGGCAGGATCTTCTTTGCCGTGTATTTTGAAGGGGGTTGGAATGGGACCAGGATCACAGGTTTCTTCTTCGGCAGGGGGAGCAGCTAGACTAGAATCCACTCTGTTTTTCCTGCACAGCTCTTGCTCTGTGGTCTCATTCAAATCTTTGCCCTGCAACCTCGTAGGAGCTTCACAAATGACTCGGCCGATCAAAGCATTTTTGGGTATGTTTTCCAGCCACTCCTTCAGGGATAGCAGATCACAAGTGCAGTCCCATGGGTTATCCTCCAGCAGAATCTCAGCAATGCCTGGGATCTGCTCCAGGACTTCCTCATAAGGCAAGGTTTTCAGTCGGTTTCCCCGGAGGTCGAGGTGGGTGATCGGCACATACTGAAACACGTTGGCAGGTAAGGTGCTGATGAGGTTGTCATTTAAAATCAGCACCTCCAGCTTGTTTAAATCCCTAAATGCTCCCGGGTCAATATCCCTTAATAAATTAAAATCTGCCTGGAGATATTCCAGATCGTCCAGCCCCAGGAAAGTCTGCTTCCTGAACGATTTGATCTTATTGTTGTTTATATGCAAACGTTTTACCAGCTGCAGCCCAAGAAAAGCCCCGGGAACAATTTCATGCAAACCGTTGTTTTCCATGTGCAAACTGACTGCATTGTAAAAGTTAGCAAACTCATTAGGGAAAAGTCGAGTCAGGGAATTTCCATGCAGGAATAAATGGTAAAACTGGGAAGTTGGGGCGCTGAAATGATGCAGGCTGGTAAACCCCTTTTTCTCACAGTCTACGTGCAAATCCCCTTCTATCTCGTTGCAGGAACAGATCTTCTCTTTGCAAACGTCCCCTGTAACGTTTCCAGCAGCAAAACAAAGAGACGTCTCCAGCAACAGAATCCAAAGCAGCATCTTTAAACCGCACGATTCATTCCCAATCTCATCACAAAGTAACAGCAACCATCATACTCACACCGAAAACAATTCCAGTTCATTCAATAGAGGAGATGTCCGAACCACCACCATAGGGAAAAACGTGGGGGGAAAGGAGGCTGAGCGGAAGGGGGGGGGAGGATTTCTTTTCTCCTTTATCCCTTTCTCTCCCCCCCCGACATATACTGCAACAGCCCAGATTCCAGTCAATAATTATATCCACAAACTATCCAGGCACGTAATGCGAGGCACGCAAAAAAAAAAAAAAAAAGTAGAAAAAAATCCCCCTCCTCAAACCCCTCCTGAAAGCTCCCGAAAAGCTAAGTAGATCACTGTTGTCCGGCTTCGCTAATCGGAACAGGAATAAGGCTAGTAATTATAAGCAGCCACTGCATTTTAGAGAGAATCAGGCAGACAGTGCAGCGGTGGTAGAAGAGAGCTGCCTGTGAGCTTCGCTTTGCTTCGGACTGACCTTGCTTTCCTGTTTCAAAGCCGGGCTCCTGACTGCTGCTGCTGCCGCCGGTGCTCGGTGCCCAGGAGTCCCCCTCTGGGTGCTGTCCAGTCCCCCTTGGTGCTGAAATCACGCCCCAGCCTAAGGACCGGATGCCGAACCAATGGCGCTGCAAAAAATCTGCAATCGCTGCGTTTTTTGGCTGTCCATTTCTCCTCTCCTCCGATCCCTTCTTCTTCTCCCCTTTCTTTCTCTCTGTCAGTCTCTCTCTCTCTCTCTCTCCCACCTCGGGCTCTCTTCTTTCCTTTTTCTTCTTCTCCTGTTTCTGAGTTGCACACACACACACACATACACACACGGAAGGAGAGTTGCTAAGAGCCTCTGCTCGTTCCAACCTGGTGCACTCTCAAAGATCTGACACCCTCTGCTGAGCTGCAGTGGCAAAAATCCATCTGCTGAGGGAATGCTGGAGAAAAAAAAATCAATCCACGTACAGGGCAAGCGTTAAAAATGTTGGCATTAAAGCTGTCGATCTGTTTAGACGCTTTCCCTTAAATTGATTATTTAATTTCTTTCTTTCTTCCTCCTGACATGGAAAGTTTAACATCCTCCCTCTCTCTAGCCCTCCCCCCATACACACACACACAATCACACGCACGCACACACACACACCCTTACTCTAGCAACCGGCAAGAACGCTTTTGTCCTATTTTGCGTCCCAGTGGCTTGAATAGAATTAGTGTCAGGGTGTCAGGCGAATAGCAATTTGAGATAATTATACTCCACGCCATTTTCAACGTTGCTTTTAAATGTGTCGCTTCCTCCCCTGCAGTCTATAGCGTTTCATGCTGGATTTGGTGGCTTTACGGAGTTCCTTTTGGAACGCTGTACCGTGGATGATTGCGTTATATTTTTTTATTGTATAGATGATCACAGGAAAGGGGCTGGGGCGGGGAAGACTAGGTTTGCCGCACAGCAGATCATTTTACTACCTGTTTCTGGAGGGTACAGAATTTCCTTTGAGAGAGGACTTGAAATTGACAGCAGTGGATCTTATTTCTCTTCTTCCACTTCTCTTCGGCTATTTAAGTGCTGTGTGCAAATGCAATGCCTGCTTACCTTTTTGATTTTTGACAAAATAGATTACACGGCGGAAAATGTGTTTGCCTGGCCTGGAAAAAGAAAGTTTCAGCATCTTTTGGACGGGTTTCAGATACCTACAAGCAAATAACCAGTTGCATCTCTGGTGGTGCAAACATAAACCCTTGTTCCCCAATGCCTTGCAAAATTGTGCGGAGGAGGCTGTATGGGAGTGCTCCAGAGCCTGATTCGCTGGGTCCTTTCTGCGCCTGCCCTCGCTCCTGAGCTTGTACCTCTTCCGTCCGACAGATGCTCTGACTCCATTCGTGAACTTTGCAATATACTGGTAGGGCACAGAGCGTCACATCTACTGAGGCGGGAAGGAGGGCAGGGGGGCTTCAGGTCTATATATAGGAAAAGTCGGGAAGCCAGATGGAAGCTGCACCCAGTCATCCTTGCTGCATGCTAATTTGGTCCCAGGGTTTCCCGATCTGCAGTTTCCAAGTACATTAGACATCCTATCATGGATGATCTTATCAAATTAATTTATTTAGATTATAAACAAGTTGCAACAGCTGCCGTAGCCATTTTCGGATGGAGTGTTTCGGGTGGAGATTTAGCCTTATATGTATAGATGGATGGGCGAGAGGGAGGGAGCGATGAAGGGAAAGAAACTGACAAAAACATGACTGGACCAAAGGATGCCTGGCCAATAAATAGCAAGCGGGGCAGGAGAGAGAAAATGCTACTGAGACAACAAGCTTCAGAAGCAATATATTAGCTTCATGGGCGAAGGAGAAGGAAAGGAGACTTGGCGCCACATTAAGGCTCATTAATTCATTTCTCATGGCAGTTGCTCTGACTTTGTCTCTCTGTGCATGTCAGAGAGGGTTAGATAGATTGGAACTGGAACCCTTCTGAACCGAAAAAAACCAACAATCCTGCAGCTTTGGAGAGGAGCAGGAGGACTCGGAGGGAAAGCCCACAGGAAACCTTTGGAACACAATAAGGAAGAAAGGAGTTTGGAGGGAGGGCAGAGGAACAGGAGAGGCTTCTCGCGGAGCTGCCTAGAAGTGGCAGTTGTCTGGACACTGTACCTGAAGGGGGGGGGAGGGGAGGAGGAGTTGTGAATAGATGCAAAATTATGGTTGTGCACTTGAAGTATGGCAGCATCTAACTGAGAGAGGGGGTTCCATTGTTCTAGGAGCAGTATTTCCTCACACTAACTCTGGGCCTTGCTACCTAGAGTGGCAAGACCAACAAAGGATGGAGAAAAGGCAAACAGACTTATCATCGGTTTTTTACAGATGGCACAGAGAAGGCGATTTGCCAGTAGTCACACAGGAAGTTCATGGTAGAGACAGGAAATAGACCTATATTTCCTGAATGCCTTAAATGCCAAAGCTATCCTTCTTCTCCCATATATATATTATTTAACAATGCTGCATTTGGGTATGTAGGTGGCAGTTGTCCGGCACTGTACCTAGCTCTAATTATATTCCGCATTTCTAATTATATTAATTTATCCTAAGTGGAAACATGCATATTGTAAAAAGAGCAAAGCCCTATGTAAATTCCCACCCAAAGCTAGAATGTTCTAGGATACATCTGGTGTTGTGAGTGTAAAGCATATGTTTACACTTTTATTTGAATTACTTTAATACATTGGCTTTTTAATAAGCAATGGTATTACACTAGAGCTGCATTTTCAAAATATCAAAAGCCTAGATACACATGGCCAATTTCTGCATGCCATACTCATGTTAAGCAGCACTGGTTTACACCCATCGTCCCATAAGCTATGCAGTATGACAAAAATGCAGAGTCATGGCTTCAGTTTTAAATCAGCTTTAGTGAGCTCTTTTATACACCAGGGTTGCAGTAGTAGGAAGAGTGGGTTGCGCTGCTGTAGCTACACCTGTATAAATGTGCCAATGCAGTCTCCTACTATACTTGTGTACAGAGTTCATTGTACCAGTGCCACTAACACAGAATTGGTGGCAAAATGCTTTTTAAAACAGTGCTGTGTTGTTTTACTTTTCTGTGGCTATTTTGCAACTTTCGTAACTACAAAGTTGTCAAATAAAATCTTACAGCTTGTACTGTCATGCTATATCACAGTGGGACTAGAGGAAGCAAAGCCATAGCTCTGATGTCTATATAGCAGACATCATACTTAACCTTAGCTATACTCCTATTGACATAGCTATCACCTCTCAGGGAAGTGGATTTCCTACATTGATGGGAGAAGCTTTCTCTTCGGCATAGGTAGCATCTTCATTGAAGTGTCACTGTGACTTTTTAAGTACAGATAAATCCTGAGGTGCATAACTCCAGGAGGAGGTTCATGGCTGAGAATTCTGAGTAGAAGGAGGTGTCTTTCTCTCAGCAGGGGTGGAGGATAGAGGCCAAACTCCTGTCCTTGACATTTCTTAGGTTAATCTAGGAGGTTCTCACTTTCCTTTTATTTTATATTATTCTGGCTTTTGAGGATTCCTTTATTATGTGACTAATTCACACTCTGAATTGTGTAGAGAATGGAGCCTGACTCCTATCCAGAGATTGTGAATCCCACAGGGCAGCTGAGTGCTAAAGAGCCAGGCACTGAAATTCTTATGTCTCTTTGTGGATCTAGTCCCTGCTGTTTTATGAATGCAAATATTTTTAAACTGAGAAATCATCTGACATATTTTAGTCAAACAGAATTGTGAGGATTATTTCTTTTGTTAGAGTCTTTTGGTCAGGTATCACAGGAAGAAGCTCTAGGTAACGTTACCAGGTTTAATAAAAAATGGTAACTTTTGTACTGTGTTTTAACCTCCACACAATATATTGCCAGAACACATTCCAATTGCATCATTTTATGTCCTTGTTATGACAATGTTCACTATTCTGCCAGGCTCAAAGCCAGTGCAGTTTGATCAATATACAACATAGTACAGTACTGCACTTCTGCTAATGTGACCTCTTTATAGTTTGATTGCCTCAACTATTCCACTCTTCTCTGACATCTCTGACTAGCTGCAGACAAGAAAAATGGTCAAACAACCAGCAAGTCTTAGAACAGGATACTTCAACTGCATAAAGTAGTTCAGCAAAATATATTCACAGGGCAGTAGAATCCTGTTGCTATCCTCTTGTGATAAATCACGTAATAAGGAAAGAAAAAGTCATGAATCCGTTTACTTGACAAAAACTGGTACGAACTTGAGGTAAGATACATATCCAATGGAATACTAATAAAAAAAGTAGGGTCAAGTTGTCAATTCTTTACTTACAGAGATGAGCGACTATTCACATAAGTTGCCCCATTGAGTCTCATCATCCCAAGTAAGGGGTCCATAGTGTGGTCTTTAACCATAGTTTTTGGTGTACTTCTTTAATTCTAAGCATTTGGAGGCAGTATTTCAAATAGTTGTATAAGCAATTTCAAAAAGTCAAAATCAGGGGAAAGTTTGCACTTCTATCCTAAGTACATTGCACTTCAGTTATATAAGAGCTGGCTTTTCATTTCCGATAGGATAAAAATAAAATCCATAAGGTGCACTCCCAGAAATTACAGGAGGTGGTTGTTTGCTTGTTATCAAAGCTGTTGTCTAAAGTAGGGTGTTACTTCAAAATAACCGCCGTTAGGTCGAATTTATAAGCAGATCGTCCATACTAACAAGCCCATTATTTCAAAATTACAGACTAGTTATTTCAAAGTCTGTACTCCTGCTTTCTTCAGGAAATAGAGCTAATTTTGAAATAGTTACTTTGAAATAGACCTAGTGCGCATGCTCCAGTGCCACTATTTTGAAATTCCAACTAATTACTCCCCAGTGCTTCTTGGTGCTCTAAGTTGAGGTAGCACATCCACATTAATGGAGCCTGCCTCAGACTAATTTTGAGGTTTCCCCATTGTGGGAACACAGTACTTCAATTTTGTAAAATTGGGAATTAAGTCAAATTTAGTTATTTAAAAATAGATTCCTAGTGTAGACATGCCCAAAAGGAGGAAGGCCCTTTACTAACACTGTTCAAATTTCTCATGCCAATGGAATAATTTATTTTGGAGATGTGAAATTACAGAGTTAAAAGAGAAATAATATCTGTTCTGGGAGGAAAACTCAAGATCTTGCACTAGTTTCCTCCTCAGACCTAGTATTCATGAATCAAGGATTGTAAACACCACTCATTTTCATTCCAATAGCCTAATCTAGTTATGTGACATTAATAAATAGACTTGTTTTTCATTAATCCACATGTTAACTCACTATAGTTGAATTATTTCAGCTGGGTTAAAATGTAAATTCTCTTTTCCTATTACTCATATTCCAGACTTGAACAAGCATATGATTTCAGAGATACAGTACAAATCATTTAAAACACAACAGTTTTTTTCACTTGTTAAGCCTTGCAAAATAAAAATCCTCTGAGAAATTCCCATGTAATTAATTGAGCTGGGCAGAAAATTGAATTTCAGTTTTTCATGAAACTCTATCATTTTGAATTATTTTCTATTCTGAAACAGAAAGAAAAAGCATAATCAAACATTAACATTTTGCACTAACCAACACATTTTATTTTTTGTTTTGTTCTGAAGTCAACTTTTTAAAAATTCCATTTATTTTTTAAACAAAAGTGAAAATCAGAATGCGTTCATGATATGTCTTGCCTTTGACAACTCAAGTTTCCAACAAAATTGGCTCGTTTGAAAAATTGTCAACGATCTCTTACAAACACCACTTCTCCTTACTTCTGAAACACAGAAATGTTTATGTTACTGGCCATCCTCCCATCATGTATCAACAGTCCTGTGAGCAATGGACAGGTGAGAAGTTGGGATGTTGAACTTATTTTTCAGTTCATCAGCTTATACTTCGTGTAAATAAAAGACAGTCACTTGTCCTGATTAAATCTTGTGCTAGTACAACTTTACACATTGCTGTCATTTTTTTTTGTAAAATTGGATGAATTTCATTGTAACTCACATTTTTGTTCTCCAAATATTCCAGAATAATATACTCAATATAGAAAATATAGTTTATTAACTAAAGGGAGCTAGCTATACAGTGATCTAGATTCAAATCCCAATAACAATAGTAGAAATCTCAAGTAACTCCACAATAATTGCACTGAAGCCAGTTGAGTTACTCCAAATGCATACGGAGTAAACTCAAAAGCTTGCCCAATGGCTATGACGCTGGCAACTGTTGTCTCTCCACAGACTATATGCAACTTAATTATATCTTCAAACAAAAAGTCTTCTTCAGATATGACCTGGTGTTGGATATGGATTTTGTGGAGGATTAAAATAGTGTTGTTTCAAATTTATTAAAGGACTGAAATCTAGTCCATTGACAATACTTCTCCTTTTTATAATCTTAGCCACTGGTACAATATTCACAGTACAGTATTTAATTTCAAAACAGAAAAAGTTTTCTTTATACAGCCAAGTGATAGGGTCTTCCATGGCCAGGCAGCCTCATCCATCTTCAAGACCCGAGAAAATGGTAGATAAATCTTGGTCCTTCCTCTCCACAGTCCATAGAGTTATGAAATTCAATACCTAAACTATGAGATGAGTTTCCCTTCTGGTGCAGGGTCAAGACTTGTTTCTTTGGACTACTTCCTACATGTCGTTTTAGTTTGGGGTGTGACCCGGGTAGTCCAACTGCCCTGCAGTTGGAGCATATTTGCAGGCTTTTCCTTGGCAGGGAAAGCCTTACTTTCCTCAAGTGGCTGTGATGACTGGCAACTCATTGATCTGTCCTTTCAAGCTGGTAAACACAGGGCTCCTGGCTCCTTGCCAGTCAGCTTCCAATTTATCCAGGTTCCCTTCTTTTCTCCCCCACTCCCTCCGGATGTGGCATTAGTTGCAGGTAGAGCAGGATAGAGCTGGCTGAACACAAAGGTTTTATTTAACCCCTGCTGTGCTGGATAGCAGTTTTTCTACTCCCACAAAAGCCTGGAGGTCAAGGGCTTCCTTCCAAAACCATCAGAGTACCTGTGTTCATGGATTTAAATGGGATGTGAAAAAGTGTACATTTGCTGAACACTGTTTTCACAAGGGTATGGCATGGATTCTAGGCCCAGAGCTGTAGAACAATCTTGTTTTTACCATTGTTCTTAATTTTCCTCCCATAAAACCTGAGGTACAAAACTTTGCATGTCACTGAAGACAGTCAGGGTACGTCTAGACTGCACGGTTATTTTGAAATAAGCCTTTCCAGGATAGTTATTCAAAAATAGCTTATTTTGAAATAGCACGTCTACACTGCAGGAAAGCCTCACAATTAGTCTGAGGCAGGATCCCCTAATGTAGATGTGCAATCTCAATTAAGAGCCCAGGAGGCACAGGGGAGGAATAACTTAGAAGGGCCCTGGTGAGGGGCTATTCCAAAATAGCTAGTTTGGAATGGATGTTATTCCTCATAGAATGAGGTTTACAGATTTCAGAATAAGCCTCCAGTTATTTCAAAATAATGAAATCACTGTATAGATGCTCACATAGTTATTTTGGAATAACAGCCATTATTTGCTGTGTAGACATACCCTCAGACACTTGTGTAGGTTCCAGGGAATGCCTGTCTCCAAGAGGACTTACGCTGTCCAGGGAGCTGGAGCAAAGAGGGCTCCTGACAACATCTTCAGGACAGAAATTATTTGCTTCCAGCAGCTTTCTTCAAATCCCAATTGGTTAGGAGCCGGAATTTCACAACTTTCACATGAGGGGAAAATTTATTTAGAAAACAGAATAACAGGAAGGAAAGACCGGAAATGGAAGCTTATTCTCTTTCCTATGCACAAACAACCAAGTAAGAGGGAAGCGGCCTACATGAAGTATATTTGTTGTGTTACAATCACTTATTTTTCAGTATTGCAGATCGTTTTAACTTATATTTTTGTATAGCCTTAGCAGCATATCAGAAAGTGGGGTTGAAGAACACAGAGTATTGTTATGACAACTCTCACAGAATGTTTTTATTAATTATTAATATGTATATAAATCATTTATAGCCTCAACCTCTGATACAGGAAGCATATACTGGTCCCTATGCTTCACAGAGCATGAGTTTTTCATGCTTGAGAAACAATTTGCCTACTAACCACAAATGCTAATTCAGTTTGTGATGGAAGAAAGTCCCTTTATCCTTTTTTTTTGTGTGTGAATGGTTTACTCGAAGCTGTGGAACAATGGCTTATGGTTACAATTTATGATTAGCCAACTGAAGTTATAGAAATTAACCTCTTTTGCAAGAAATCAAACTTCTATGAAGGCTTAAAATGAGAAACACTATAGAGAATGAATGCTACTT